CTCGCACTTCTTCGCATTGATCTTGAAGTTAGCCTCTCTAAGCTTCTCCAAGACCTGCCTCAGATGACCCTGGTGCTCCTGGAGGGTCTTACTAAAGACTAGGATATCATCTAAGTAGGCTACTACAAATTTATCTAACCATGGTCTAAACAGGTCATTCATACAACGCTGAAAAGTAGCTGGCGCGTTGGTTAGTCCAAAGGGCATCACTATAAACTCATAATGCCGATATCAAGTCCGGAACGCAGTCTTGTACTCATCATTAGGATGGACCTCTATCTGATGGTATCCGGACTTAAAGTCTATCTTAGAGAAATACTTACAACCCTGCACCCGATCTAAAAGATCGTCTATCCTGGGCAGCGGCTCAACATTCTTCACGGTGATCTCATTTAATCCCCTATAGTCTGTACACATTCTCAGCTCTCCTTCCTTCTTGGGGACAAACAAAACGGGTGCTCCAAAAGGAGACGAACTGGGCCTGATCCACCCTTTCTCAAGGAGTTCGTCTAACTGCTTGCGAAGCTCCTCTAACTCTCTAGGGGACATCCTGTAGACTGCACCCCTAGGAGTTCTACTGCCAGGCTCTATCTCTATGCTGTGCTGGATGGGTCGCGACACTACTCCTGTCGGCGACTCAGTCAAGTCTTTGAATTCTTCCAGBAGCTTGGCAATTGTTGGATCTGTGGAACTATCCTTTTCCGGGGCCTCAGTGACAGGTGTGACATACACCACAAAGACCTGTTCCTCTATCTGCTCCTTTCTTACTAATCGCGCGAACGCGGGAGCACTGAGACAGCAATGCGCCAAGGTGTTATCTACACCGGACGCATGGAACAGGCGAGCAGTCTTCACTTCGCCTGACGGACTAGGGAGCCTACACTCATGCTCTCTCAGATGGAGTGTGGCCCCCGCTGCCTCTCCCCAATCCATTCCTAACACTACATCGAAAGGAAGGTCATCTTGTACGAGAAGAGTCAGGGAATGGAGAACTTTYTCCACCTTCCCATCCTTCTCTAGGCGAAAGTACGCCTGGACTCCCTCTGTATAATCCTCAACGCGCATTGTGCGGTTGTCTGCGAGAACACTGACTATAGGGTCTATTAACTTCTGGACCTTTAGTTCTATCCTCAGCTTCTTCAGCGCCCTWCGGCTGATATAACTACGGGTAGCTTCTGAGTCTATAAGGGCCCCTACCCTACTCCTAAACACCTCTACATCTACCAAAATCAGTTGTCCTTTACTCTCCTTCTTCATTTTGGCCCAGGTTGGCATCCTCTCCTTTAATTCTTCTGCCACACCTATGAGGGAGGTGCCTAAAGAGACGCTTACACAAGCGGTCTCTGGACAGCTATCTAGGCAYGGGCCTGCAACCTCTGCCATAGGCTCATGTGGGTTGGGAGTGTCCTGTTCGCGCGCGCTCAATTCTCCACATGACCTTGAAGTAGGGGCAGTTGCGACCCCTACTGGCGGCTGCCTTTTGACTGCTGGGCAGCCCAACGGGCCTGTCTATACTATGGACAAAATTTGATAACGTGGGCCGGGTCACCACAGAATACGCACTGACCCATGTTCACGCGTTCCTGCCATATTTGTCGGTCCAAGCCCAAGTCTTCCCAGGGCCTGCGCTGTGGCAAGCCTGGGCGCCAACCTCCTTGAGGTGCTCTTCCACCTCTTCGTTGTGGGGACCGATTACCCTGGCGATTTGACGGGGGACCTTGACCCCGACCTTCCGCTTGGCGGTTTCCCTGTCCGCCAACCCCCTGTGCGCCCGGTCCTCGGCCTCCCATGGCCTTTGGCCCTGGCCTCCTCCTCCTTGCGGGCTTCCTCCAGCCGCGACAGCAGCGTAAGACCTCCCCTGCCCCACACTACTGCCATCATCTTCGAGGCCCCACTCAATCTGATCATACGGGACCTCATCAATACCACCTTCCTCTAACGTCAGGATCATGTGATCCTTGGCCTTTACTTGGCCTGAGATAGTACGATTCTTCCACTTCTTCCCCTTCTCCAGGTCCTTATGCCAGAAAGTGGTAACTGGCATAGACTTTGACTTATACAGGACGACCTCCCTACTCAATTGATCATATGTGATGCCGGCCTGCTGAGACTTGTCAAAGAAATGCCCGCGTAGGGCCTCTGGGATGGCACGATAAAACAACTGGACCAACTGGGGCTCGGTGACCCCGTGGTCAGGGACGGCTACCAAGTCGTCCATAGTACTCTTGAGTGCCTTGGCACTTCTCCACTGCTGAGAGTGAATCGTTTGAAGCTTATCAGAGGCTCTAATGCCTTGTTGGGTCAGCGAACCTCCTTGAGGAGCTTGAGGAATTGGGAGAGAGGAGTGACTTTGGAATACGCAACCAGGTTGTTTTCACAACGGGCTGTACGCGCAAGAGACCTGGCAAAACTAGCCGCTTCATCTTTGAGGGCCTGGAAGGCCACAAGGACTTGTTCCTCGACCAAGATATGCTGCAAATAAATATAACTATTGATACTGGCTTTCCAGTTGTCAAAGTTATCTTCCTTCTTTCCCCCGTACGCATCCGAAAACTTAAGCTTCACTGGGTCCTTACGGGGTCTGGCCTCTCCCTCTACAGCGGCTACAGCTTTGGCACCGTGAATAGCGCCCTCACAAAACTTCCCTACATCATCTCTCAAGTGCTTCACTTCGCCCCCAATATGGGTGACGATCTCGCGCGCAAAATCTCTAAACCATGACCGCATGGCACTCAATCCTACATCCTGGCTCCAGCTTGCCTTGCGCTCCTCCATCCAGGCCTTGCTCAACACCTCTAGGTACCCCAGTACTTTGTCCCACTTGGCCTTATCGTCCGGTTGGGCCAGCACCTCCGCTCTACACTCCTGCACCTTTGCCACTGCTGCGGTCATCTTATTCACTTCCTCTCTCCTCCTCTTCTTCTCCCTCTTCATTCTCAACTTCCAGGCTAACTTTTGCTCGTCTTCCCTCTCTCTTCGTTCCATTGGGTCTGTCATGGCTGCTAGCTCAGCGGCCAACGCAGCCTTCTCATCCTTAGTTACATAGGACTCCGTCTCCTTGTCTTCCCCCAACGATAAATTAGCGACCCACTCGCTGATCTTCTTTTCTAGCCCTGTATCTGTTTCCCTTGTCATCGTGCCACCACTACTCCCTTCTCCACTCTCAATCCTCATCCTCTCTTTCTCTTCTTCTGCTGCCGCTTCTGCTTCAGCAACTTTTCTTCTTTCTTCCTCCTCTTGTTGTACTTTCTTCATCTCCTCCTCCAATCTCTTCATCTTCGCCGCTTGTTCATCTGCAATAGCCTTTAGCTTCACTTGTATCTCACGCTCTTTCCTCTCCCTATTCTCTCTAAGGCAGCCATCTTTTCTTGCTGCTCCTGACTATAGGGATTAGTCTCAGTACGGGTCTCAACCATGGTGATAGGTGCACAATCAGGATGATTCCACTCCTCACCACGCCGTAACTGACAAACCTATATACCCAATCTAAGACGTACAGAATCCTGACAGGGATCCTGTCAACTATGGTCTCTAGCCTAGACCTACACTATGGCTGTCACTACTGAACCAGTGGCTGATCAGGAGGCATTTAAGGAGATCCCCCGAACTCCTCAAGAATTCTTTAACGTCGCAGACAGGACGACGTGATCAGCTTGGTTCTGCCTGTGCTTTCAGCCCACAACTCAGCCTTTCCGGCCTACTGTGCCACACCGAGCAGCCCGCCSGTCTGTACCGGTCCTTGGGAGGGTTCGTATCCCCCGGGACAGTCGAGTCGTCARACACAGATCATCAGCCTTACTTGGTCTGGTAGGGGAGTGGTTCCAACAGGCCCTCAACACTTAAAGACTGCCTCCGTTTCAGCCTGCAGCTCAGAGTTCGGACCCTCTACACTGAAACTGAGCAGACCTGTCGGTCAGTACCGGTCATTGGGCTAGACGAGTTGTTTAACGAGCGCTCGCCGCTCATGCCCAGGTCTCTAGATACCAGAGTAGAGATTAGTCCTACTAAGTCTCGTGCAGGTTTGGCAGCAAGGCCCTATCCTTCATCCACAGAGTTCTATGACCTAGGACAGAAGAGACTCAATGCAGAAAGAATAGACAGACAGACTGTACTCAGCAAGTACCAAGGGGTATGTGCACATCCATAGGGCAAGGGGTAGGCTAAGGGCTTGGCGAGATGTTACCAACTCCAGCTTGGTCAAAGTCTTGGTCAACGCCTTGGTCAACRCCGGTCAACGCTGCTATGACCCTYGGTCAACYYCGGTCAACTCCGGTCAACGMYTCCRGTCAACCCTCTYGGTCAACTCCCCGGTCAGCTATGGCKGCCGGCACTTCTTCCTCGCCAATCCCCTTCTTCTTCCTTACCTCCCTCGCCTCCTCTCTCCCGCTGTCTTCTTCTTTCTCTTTCTTTTTTTTTTCTTTTTTTTCTTTTTTTCTTTTTTTATCGGCCTCCTCTTCACCTCCTAGCTATGGCCGCTTCTCTCCCTTCTCCGTCTCTCCACCTCTGTCCTTCTCCCTCCAACTTCGTCACTCCGTGATACCGGCTCTGCGGCTATGGCCGCTGTCTTTTTCCTTCGTGGACTGCGCGGCAACTTCACAGGTACGTAACAGCCAATCTTGTATCGTTCATCTCTCTCTCTCTCTCTCTCTCTCTCTCTCTCTCTCTCTCTTTCTCTCTCTCGCCGTAGCGGTATCTTCAGCGCAGCAGCTACGTGTAACCCAATCTTGTATCTCTCATCTCTCTCTCTCTCTCTCTCTCTCTCTCTCTCTCTCCCGGTCTTCTTCTTCGTCGTGTCTTCTTGCAGGTGCGCGGCGGCTTCTTCAACCTCAGGTCCGCTATGGCGGACTATCTC